ATCCTACTAAGACACTTTCAATATCGGACAATTGTTACCAGATACCTTAGGAATGACACGTCTGGGAAGCATGTAAAGCTATCACGTTATCCCTATACGTGCTTATCGGAGTGTGGATTTTACACGCATGGTTTGACCATTTCAAACAACCGTTAACAGATGGTGGGTGCATATTAAAGTATGCTTTTTAAAATGACTTGCGATAGCTTATCAACATTAAAATATTTTGACATTTAATTCGAAAGTGTTTTTATGTGTCTGTACATACTGCGAAACTTTCCGACATAGATAAACTTTCACACATTCAATAGAACGAAAAAGTGTGGTAAATGTTTAAACTTATGGATAAAATACATCATTTCAGGGCAAATTTAATCCGTGGCGAAAACAAATTTCATGAGAAGACAATAAAATATGACTGAATAATTTTGGAAAGCCCGGCTTATCGATATTATATATATATATCATACGAGGGGAAATGTGACGAGAGACACCATGAGTGGAAAATAAACTACAAAAAGAAAGACCGACAGAAATGTAAAAAAAAAGACTAACTGTTTCAATAAGGACAGCAGATCCGTTTTGTTTCTTCAATGTCTCCCTTGGTAGAGGACAAAGACAAAAACAGCAATACTTAATAGTTACTAAAATGAAAATATCCTAAATTTTGCTGCCTCTTTCGATAGTGCATTGGGCACAACAGGAACGATTTCTTAGCCCTATCTGCTTGAAAAATGCACAAAAGAAATAAATGAGCAAGGAACAATGGTTAATAATTACAGCGTACTTGCGTCTCATGGTTAACGAACATCTACAATTTCAAATACATAGTATACTTCATATAGTCCATGCAGTAATCTACACGTTCGACTATATCAATGACAGAGTTTATTGATAAAGAAATTAGAAAAAAAATGCAACCGACAAATAAAATAATTACTTTTCACGATAGTTCATTTCTCCTTCATAATCTTCCCAGTTGTCCTCGCTGTCAAACAAAATGAGGCTTCCGTTGCGAATTGAACAGTAGGCGTTAGCTTCACTCCAAGATAAAATCGCAGAACTGAAAAAATAGTGTGCTGCCAATGTCTTTGTCTCTGAAGTAAAAAAGAATCATTTTTGATAAACAAGATAGGTAAGTGTGCTAGACGGATCTTGGCGCTCACCGTTATTCTCCCTTAATTGTTCTTAGTTAAATGAATGCCTTCCAAGAAAAGTCGATAATGATTTTAACTGCAAAGATGGCCTTCTGTCAGCCATTTTGTTTTTCTGATTAGTTCCATGATATATATTGCACATGTAGGCTAGAGGCATAGTGAAACTATCAAATAAATTTGAGAGTAATCCATTCAGTGGCTCAGGATATAACGAAAACAGATACCAATGTGAAAATCGAAAATCGCGGCAAATCAACCATGATTATCAGTTGCAAAATTGTACATGCATTTCAATTGAAAGAGAAAGAAACTTATGCTACATCTTTAGAAATGGCGATAACAAGCTTTGTCAAAATTTTGTTCTCCTACGCTGTTCAATAATGGTCTTTGAATTTAAAGAATCCCTTACATTCAGTCCTTCATACATTCACTCAAATTACTTCACAATTTCCACAGGAAAGTTCTACTGTTTTTTCCCCATTTTTTAATGACTTTTTCTCTATACTAACAGTGCAAACTAAACAGCGATTATTGTTAGGTGAATAAGTGTGTTTCTTCGTAACAGACCGTTTCATTATTCAAGATATTTTGCCTAACACTCAGTCCCTTGTGCATGCACTCATAATATACTCGTAACTGGTGTTTATAGTTTTAATAATCGTGTTTCTATAGTACTAGTACAAACTATACAGTGATCAGGGTTATGTGAATGAGTATGTTTCTCATCTTCTGAAATGTTTTATTATTCAGGATGTTTTTGGTCACACCGAACAGACTTATCCAGACATGTCAGACAGGAGATCAGACAGAGTTTGGTAAACATAAACGGCAGCATATGTGTGTTCTATAATAACTCGTAAGTTTGTTTGAATTATATGACAGCTTCTTTAGTGATATTGATCTGTTATTTTAAGACCTACGATATATGAAGTTATAAAACAAGTTTGAAAATGAGAGCGCGGCACAGTAGACATGATATTGGAAATTGAAACGAGGAGAAATGTCATAGTTTGCATACTTCTTTTAATCTATGTAACTGAAATTAACTATATGTTCAACAAGACATGAAAGAAAACGAAATCAGTATGTTTCCCTTTCACATCAAATATTGCAATGACATCATTAAAATGAAATATATATTAGTATTGTAACATCTAATACTGGATATTGATAGTCCGGTAATACTTATTTCGTTAAACATTTTCTTGTAAAAATATCTATATCAAAATACCAATCATTGTATTATTTCTATCTTTGGTATCAATTTAGATTTTCTCAGCCATCTCTTTGTGTCTTCGGTTTCTAACATCACTGAAAAGTCCTCTAAGTACGACACCGGGAGAACGAAACAGTACCGGGAAGACGAAACAGTAACATGAGGACGAAACAGTACCAGGAAGACGAAACAGTAACAGGAGGACGAAACAGTACCGGGAAGACGAAACAGTAACAGGAGGACGAAACAGTACCGGGAAGACGAAACAGTAACAGGAGGACGAAACAGTACCGGGAAGACGAAACAGTAACAGGAAGAAGAAACAGTACCGGGAGGACGAAACAGTACCGGGAGTAACCGGGAGGACGAAACAGTACCGGGAGGACGAAACAGTAACAGGAGGACGAGGACAGTTCCGAGATGCAGTTAAATTCATTTTTTGGTTATGTAGCGTCTAATCATGAAAATGTGTGAAATTTTACTACTGAGATAAGTGTGAACTTACCCAAAGATAACACAACAATCATCAGAACCAACACGGAGACATCCATCGGTAAAAATCCCTTACTTACTGAAATAGTAATATTAGAATATGCAGTGAGTGATACCTTCCTAGCAACCAATGTGTGCACGGACAATTAAGGTTAAAAATAGCATCCGATTTCCCCCATCTTTATTTGCTTACCTAATCTAATCGATATATCATTATCAAAACAAAAGAAAATGGTAGCGCCGCGCTTCGACAAAGGTGAGCCGTACGGCAGCCAATGTTTAACATCAACACGCTTATCAAGCAAAATGGACACAGTATTTGTAAATGTTACAAAGAGCTTTCATTTCGTAGTTATAACTAATAGCATTGAACAATTTAGGGCGCTTACCCACGGCAATTTTATTGTTTGTATCGTTTAAAACTTCACTTGCAAACAATCTCGAGCCTTTGCTTTTATGCTATGATGTTTAAGTACACAACATGAGCTTTTTATTCTAGTTTTTATCATTTCCTTTGAAAATCCGCTTATCAATGGACGTGTATTACAGTCTATTTCCACATCATTGTATAAAGAAATTCAATGCTATTTTTTATCAATATAGATATAAAAAAAAATGTTTTGTTTGATCAGTCCTAGCCTACCATGACCATTAAGCGCAAAGAGTATGATCCTTCGAGTATTGTTGATTACGAAGTAAGTGGTTATACCGACCTCAACCACCATACATTAGTTTGCTGACTATCAGAATATAGGATTATTTATGTGAGTTCATGCTTCAGTTAATTTTACATATGAAGTGAAATGTTTCAGTTCTGTTTCTCTGGATGGATTTTTGCCAAATAAAAGCAAACTGATCATTTCGGACTCTTTCCGAAAATTCTGTTATTTATCAGCATACAGTTGACCCGATCATTTGTTTTGGCGTGTTGACATGGATATGAGGTGAATACAGGACTTATTGTTTACAAACTATTTTGTTATCCAAACTAAAACTTTACGCTTCATTTTTACATGTATTTTTTATAAAATAAATGCGTAGGAAAACACACCTTAAATTCTTGAATTTTCAATGGAAACGGAAATCAATTTTAAACAATATATTGCCGCCTTGAAGAAATGGGGAGAGGGCTACCTTAAGATTGCTCTGTTAAACTTGATTTCTCCAAGACATGTTTTCATCCTTGCAAACAACAGATCATTTCATAGAAACATCTGATAAAAGATACTTGCAAAAATGTCGCACATGATTTTTATCGTTCAACGACACATAACACAAATAACATGTGTTAAGTTTCATAACAGTTCATTTTACTTTTCTGTAAAATGTCAACATATTTATGGATGACAGTGTATAATGGCTCCAGTATAGACGAAATGTATGTATAACACAATTGCCCTTGACCTTCAAAAAATAACATTCAAACTTAAAATCCTAAATATTGCATCATAAGACTCTAACTAAATCAGCCAATGCGCGACTAGATTTTTGTTTCATTTAATTTAAACTGAGATTCGGTAAAAGATAGTGCCCTCTTGGGGTTTAGATATGTATTCTGTGAAAGAGATATTAAAGATCCTGAAATTAATAATTACTTTATTAATATCACATTTCCAATACATGTGGGCGGATTGAGACAGGTGTAAAATGTCGTAGTATTCCCTAAGTGGATGCTCAATCATAACCTTCCAGTTGAATCCGATGGCAGTTCGAGATGGCATTTAACTTACAGAATCCTGTCATTTGTAGCTTGGACAGGCCTGCTTCGGTGAATCTCTGATATCTATTTCTTAGCTTCCATGATAATTACTAACATATGATGACTGCAAACAACAAGAAAATACCAACATGTCAACAATATCATAATCTAAACTCCAATTAGTAAAACTGGGCCAAAATATGAAAAAAAGAAAAATTCACACAGAGACTACATTTTAGTTACGCGAGATCTCCTTCAAACACTATGCGGAGAACTACCATTAATGTGTACGTTCGTGAGGTGGCTTAATTTCTTATCAACAATGCTCCCAGATGGCAATGGTCACAGAGAGACTACTATCAAATGTCGATATCTATGATGATACTAAGTAGATACAATGTAAGTCTGTTTTTGTTTGTCACTCATATCACTAAAAATGAGACCAAAGTTATTAGTAGTTATAGGTACCATGCTCTCAGTGACAGCTGTAATAGCGTGGACATTGGGACGTCACCTTTCCTATAATGGTACGTATTACTTGGCTTTCATAGTATATGGCGTTGGTGTATGTTGTACATATGATGATACTGTCTCTGTGTTAAAGTTTAGACAAGTTTCAATTTTGTACACGATGCAAAAATGAGTATAGATATGTAAAATCCACGTTTCTTTCTTGCAATTATTTCTAAGGATAAAACTACAAAAGATATGTTTAATGTTACATAATGGACATTTCTATGTATTGTTTTTCTTATTAAAGTGAAGTTTTGCCAGGAAAGATGAAATAATCACTTGTGTGCCATTAGTCTAATATAGAAAAAAGAAAATAGTGTAAGGTCCGATTTATGATTTAACGTTTAGATATTGATCATCAAAGCCATTTTTTTCCAGTTGTTGTAATACCTAAAATGACTGCTAATTTTGCATTCTCACATTACTTGATAAGCATATGTTAATCGTGTTATCCTTAGGGATATAATAAAGCATTCATTTAATATAACATATAAACATAATCTATGAGATGTAGTTATCAAATCATACCATCAATTCTCGATAGGAGATGAGACTTAATTCATGTATATTAAATACTGTTGGCAGATCCATGGGTAGAGTTGGCGCGATTGAAGTCACTGATAAACTTTTTCCTGTTTTCTTATGTATCATGTTTAGAGGAAAATCTAGGTTTTTTGTAATAAGTGTTTTGTGAAGAGAGGTAGCCGGGGATAGCAAAACTGCCTCATGACTTTGCAGCAATATTCCTGCATAGTGTACGACCTTTTTGATGTGTTTAATTATAGTGAGCACCACATTAGAGTCGGGATTGTAGCTCTCCTAAAACCCTAGGCTATGAAAACTTTTCTGATCAGATGAAACCACAGTTTATCTTTTAGCCCCTAATTAATACACAACTATATCAAGTTCTCCTTCTCTGTACCTTAGGTAAGTATGTAAAACAAAATCGGTTTTATGTTACAGGGTTTCATCTGTTTGAAAGTAATGAAAAATCGCGATATGAACAAACGGTAAGTACAATACACTGGAGTAAACAAATGTAAATAAATCACACAATTCAAGTAGGCTTGAGTTCCGCAATATTACAAGGAGACCCATATGTATACATAACAGTCTACCACAAACACAAGGATTCAACGCAAGCACTAATCCCACATACTTATCGAGTCCTTAAATGGTCATAGTTGATGGTAGGACACCAACAATAAAATCAAACATAAATCGCTGTAACATTGTTATATAAGTTCATAACATAAGATCAGTAGGGTTTAAACAGCGCAGTGATGTTTACAGAAGGCGAATAATATTACCGATGGCGTCAGTTATGACCCTCTTTAACCTGAATTTAGATCGGCATTAAGCGAAAACAATAAAAAAAAATATCATAACTGGATTGATGTTCTGTCCTGGTTAACACGCAGCTTTGTGTACTTCTGTGTGGTAGCACTATAAAGTCAGCTTCACTTCAGCACTATCACAAGGAGGCTTACGCGAATAATTTGCAGCGTCAACTCCATACCCACACTCCAATCCCCACCAATAGCCCCTTAAGCCCCCAAACACACGCACCAAGCACACACACACACACACACACACACACACATCCTTCACCACCACCATAAACACACACTCATCACATGCATGCTTCTCACATAGCTGTTTGTAGGACAAAAACAGTATGATGCAAACCTCGTCCTTATCTTTGCTTCAATCATTCGTTCTAAGCAAGGATTAATGGCGTCACGTTTTAGATAAGATATTAAACTACAAAAACTTTGTATTTTCATTCATGTTAACAGTTTTTATTTTCAGATTTACGTGATATGGTAACATCAAATGTATTACAATTCTGTATGCACTACTGTTTTTTCACCAGAGTAATGAAATAGGACCCTCTATCCACTACCTTCTTTGAAATCGTGTAATTATAGTGTGAAATATACACAACATTTTCGGCACTTGCAGTAAACATTAATTATATCCTTAGACTGCTTTTCATCAAATGGCAACAACTACACGTCTGACTACTACATCAGAGGCACAACCAATTGGACCTATTCGCCTGGACACAATACGAGATCAAAGGCATGCTCACCTAATGAAGGCGTGCGATGATGATGACGTTAAATACCGCGGCACGTACCAGGTATAATATACTCCGTCTGTTATAATGATGTATTTTCAACTTAATTATTTTTTGTGTGCAGATATGAAAATAATCGCTTTATCAAGTTTCTAAATTAGCAATGACGGTTTTGTGTTATGATTCTTTAAGATATCAATAATAGATTATTTTGACTATATATAAAATGATAGACAATTTGTGACTGAATATTCCTGTTACAGAGAAGCGTTTTTGAACCAGTATCTAGTTGAACTAAGATCAGAGACAATGAAACATATCTGATATCGTATTAAATGGATTCTTAGAGTAGTATTATTACAGAAAGCGATCATAAAGCACATTGTGTGTGCATGGTTACACCTGAACAGTGACATATTGTGATTTACATATTGAATAAAATGCCATTTCATATTATAATAGTTTTCAAGTATATATCATCAATATATAATTATTAAAGAGTTTGTATAGTGTTAATCTCAATATCCTTATACAAGCAAGACCGGGTGGATATTGCCAAAAATTCGTAGAAATTAAACATTTCCCACCAAAATGTCCGAATCACACAGATCAAAAGCTGCACATACACATCATTACAAGTACAATCCTATTACAACCAGGTGCCGTACACAGTGATGGAGCGCATGCAGGTTTCCAGGAAACATCGCCTTCTCTACTGTGGGTTGGAGAAAGCAGCGTCATCATTCATGAAAAGGATTTTTATGGTACAATGTGTATATATTATGATATCATTTTAGTTTTATCTAAACATGTCAAGAGAAAATTACGCGGCTGTTTTCTCGGAAATCGCTGTAGACACCACATATGTGCATCACTCATTACATAAAATATTAACTTTCTGAAACGAAGATATTAAACTAAGTGAGGTATTTTGTATTTCCTAAGTCTACGGATTATCTACAGATTTTTTTCAGATATCAAACCAGCTTTTCATGAAAATAGATAACCAAATATATGAAGTAATTATTTTCTAATATTACAAATATTATTAATAAAAAAGAAAACCACAATGTAATTATATTTAATTTCGAAACTCAAAAACAAAATTAATTTCTTCAACTTTCACTCAGTACTTTGTAGCATTATGTTGACCATGTGGTCTGTTTTAACTTAAGCCCACATATAGCATTGAACTTTAAGCCTGAACTTGTATCTATCCACGGTGTTTATAAACATATAATGCGTTGTATGGCTTTGGTAAGTAGTGGAGAATATCTAGTAATACCATTTGTAAGTTCGTTAAGATTATATATTATTAAAATGATGTAGAAATACATAACAAAACTATCAGCGGTCTGAAATGATTCAATCATTTATACGTTCTCGCAAAAGTCTTTATCAATTATAATTGAAGAAATTCCAGCTATACGTTGCAATGGTTTTTCATATTTAAGAAAATTGTGCAAAAGACCCAAAAGTGAAAAGCACCTTTTAAATCAAGAGTAAGATACAGAAGCGCCAAACAATTAATATGAGGCACAATACACTGTTTCCTGTGATTGATTACCAATACTCTGTTGTAGGTACTTAACGGAGCACCGAAAAAGTCGCCTTATGATATCCCGACAGCCTTGGCAGGTTTTGGGGTTCCAAACTTGTCGGATTACAAACCGGCAGAAGTTCCAGACATACTGAAAAATTCTACCGTCCTTCTCATCGGCCGTGATCCGTATACCCGACTTTTATCAGCGTACATTGATAAAATGTTTTCTCCCAACGCCATGTTTGCTGAAAAAATCGGCAAATATGCCATATCATTAACTAGGGAAAATGTCACGGAACAGAGTCGAAGATGTGGTTTCGATCTCACATTCAAAGAATTTATTAAATATTTTATACAATCACAAGAAGATGGTCTTCATCGAGACAACCATTTTGCTCCCGCCTATCAAATGTGCTTACCGTGTACATACAATTATAATTTTATAGCAAAAACAGACACTTTATTGAACGATTCTGTTTTCCTCCTCACTCAGGTTGGTGAAAAACAATTGGCGGAAAACCTGCAGGTAAATTTTACAACCAGGAATCGTCAAGACAAAATCAGAGACCAGCCTAATTTATTGTTTATGTTTAGAAAAAAATATCAAGGGTGTCTGTCCTTCTTTGATGCACAAAGAAAAGTTTGGAAAAAACTGCAAGCGACAGGTGTTATTGACAAGAAGTCAAAGTATCCTGTAACGCGAGAAGAAAGTGAAAACATCACCCGGACTTCTTTTGAAAGGTTATTGCATGCGGCAGTTGGTGACGTAACTGACGTCACTGTAGCTAGGCGACAGCGAGAGGAGGCTGCTGTCGAGGCATATTCTAGTCTTGAAGGAGAAGACTTGGAAAAACTTAACAAAATATTTGCACCAGATTGCAAGATTTTCAAATTCAACTGTAGACCCCAAAAGTTTTTCGAAACTGATCCCAATATCAAATCGTGGTATTTCGATATCGAGACGGCCTAACGTTTTTTTTCATATCTCAAAATCACATTTTCCCGCTGGTGAGTTTCATGTTTTGACGGGCGATATATAGCACCACCAGAAATTCAAGATGTCACTAAAAATTGTTCATTGTTTGTTTGTTTGTTTAAAATCTTAGAGGTGACATCGAGTTATGGACGAATATCTACTAATAAATGCTCTCCTTTACAGCTTAAATTAACAAACTTGATTGTCGCTTTCGTGTCAATCCATTTGCTGTCATCACTTGTAATACAGTAACCGACTTGGTAGATCGACGCGATATCCATAACACAGAAGCCGTCCTTACACGAAGACACATACATGCTTCAATCCAAGCCATCAAGTCTTTAAACCAAGACACATGCATGCTTCAATCCAAGCCAACAAGAGTCATTAATATCAACCGATATAGCTTACGTCACAATTGTAAAAAAAATAATAGAAAACATTGTTTTCTATATTAAGCATGGCAACTGCAAATGGTTCATCACATAATGCATGTTGTATATACAAATAATCAAGAGGTATAATGTGCTCTTGGAATTGTATAATCCATTACATTATTTCATAAACAAAGAACAAAGAAATGTTCGATATCATTTGAATTGTCATTATTTGACTGATTGTCATATTTTATTTGAGAAAACTAAATACTGATTTAACCAACCTAGCACACAAAATAATAGCCAGTGTTATACGTAATATAAAAAGGACCAATTAAAAAAAAACTCGGTAATCCCTAAATAATAAATTCTTTCTTGCAATATTTTGGAAATATTATACCTGTATAATTCTTTTAACTTGTGCCTCATTAAATTAATAATGATATCCTTTATAATAAAATTGTTCTCCATCATTCCTTAACAATATAATTGTACCACAGACAACTTTAACAAAACATATATTTAACAGAACTGTAATGGAATAATCAGCTTTATCACATGAGGTTACAGGTCAACACGTCAGTCCAGACAAAATGTCAGCTCATTTTGTCTATTAAAATGTAAAATACGCAGTCAATAACAAGAAATACAACATCACAATGCTAACAAGAATCTTACAATATGTAATTCGAACTCATATTCGATGAAATTGGCCTAATATAATCAATAGATGGAATTACACAGATAGTCTTATAAAAGTACATGGATAATTAGACCAGGCGTTCCGGAAGTATACGTATTGTTTCATCGGCGACACCTGCCATGAAAATTTGGGCAAAATCCAATAAGTGAAATCACGTTTTAGCAGGGTTATTCCATACCATAAGGCATGAGTATCAAACACGTCCATCTTCATATCGCAACAGAAAATAGCGTATTCCTCAATGAGGTCATTGTGACGACCGTAAAACTTCACCATTAACAATGCTACCTAATCAGTTTAAATGTAAAAATGGTCGGTGTCACAGATTTAAAGTATAATTTATTATGTGTTACAAAGTGTTCAAACTCCATCTATTGAAAACCCCGCTTAAACACAGTACTAATGCAACAATAACAGTAACACATGTAAGCCAAGCGAATAACCTGACTTGTCCATTTAGCAGACAAACGATTGCTTAACTTGGGCCAGATAAGTAATACATTTGTTTCCTTTGATCTGTTGGAAAAAAATAGTGTATGCAAAATATTTCTGTACTGTAGGCACAAGACATTTAAGTATGTAGTGCTGCTGGAAACGGGATTTTTATATGGCATTATGACGACTTGTGTAATGATATTTTTCCAGCCAAGGAAGTTCAATCTCTCATCATCCTACATATATAATCTGAATACAAAAGTTTATCCCAGATACACCGCTGAACATTCAATCAACATACAAATATCTCATGACGTCACAGCTCATCTCTGACGTCCTCTTTCCTGACCTCTATTACAATTTTTCCAGTATTAGCATTACTCTCCATGTACATGTGAGCTTCTGATATCTTCTCTAATGGAAACACACTGTCGGTGATGGGTTTCAGTTTCCCGGAGTCAAAATGGGGAAGTGCAGCTTCAGTGAAATTCCTCACAAGATCTCCTTTATACTGAAATGCAACCAAAAGATGTTGAAAATGATATTTGTAAAGTTTTACACTAAAGTTACTGTATTAAATGTTAACATGATATTTGTAAAGTTTTGCACGATAGGTACTGTATTAAATGTGGAACATGATATTTGTAAAGTTTTACACTAAAGTTACTGTATTAAATGTTAACATGATATTTGTAAAGTTTTACACTAAAGTTACTATATCAAATGCTAACATGATATTGGTAAAGTTTTACACTAAAGTTACTGTATTAAATGTTAACATGATATTTATAAAATGTGGAACATGATATTGGTAAAGTTTTGCACGATAGGTACTGTATGAAATGTGGAACATGATATTTGTAAAGTTTTACACTAAAGTTACTGTATTAAATGTTAACATGATATTAGTAAAGTTTTACACTAAAGTTACTGTATCAAATGTTAACATGATTTTTGTAAAGTTTTGCACTATAGGTACTGTATAAAATGTGGAAAATGATATTTGTAAAGTTTTGCACGATAGGTACTGTATTAAATGTTAACATGATATTAGTAACGTTTTACACTTAAATTACTATATTGAATGTGGAAAATGATATTTGTAAAGTTTTACACTATAGGTACTGTATCAAATGTGGAAAATGATATTCGTAAAGTTTTACACTATAGGTACTGTATTAAATGTGGAAAATGATATTTGTAAAGTTTTACACTATAGGTACTGTATTAAATGTGGAAAATGATATCGTAAAGTTTTACACTATAGGTTGTATCAAACACTTAAAGTTTTACTATATTGTATCAAATGTGGAAAAGGATATTTGTAAAGTTTTACACCATAGGTACTGTATTAAATGATGAGGCAGATGATAATAGAGAGAAGTAATACCCATAAAAGCAATGACGAATTACGGAAATCAAAAACAATTTCTTTCAGTTGTACCAATCATGTTGTGAAAGAAGATTTCCATTTCATTTAAAAAAAAATTCAACCATTACATGTGATTATGAGTGATATTAAAACAAGTAAATCTTAAAGTGAAAGATATAGAAATATTAAATCATCAGTTTGTCTATCTGTGCTGAAAGCATTCATATTTCTAACGTTTTGGTGCTAAGAAAATCTGGGCTTTCAAATTCTGGATGTTGATGATCACAACACGCATAGAAATTAGGCAGCCAAAACCTATCCAAGCCCTCTCCTCACATTTATACTGTACATATTTAAATGATAGTATTTCATATATTGGCGGGTTATCAATTCATATTACATAAATAATAAGAAAGATTATATTATTCCTAAAAAAAGTACATATACTTTATCAATCACATATCTGTATATATCGTGTACTTTATCAATCACATACCTGTATAGATCGTGTACTTTATCAATCACATACCTGTATAGATCGTGTACTTTATCGATCACATACCTGTATAGATCGTGTACTTTATCAATCACATACCTGTATAGATCGTGTACTTTATCGATCACATACCTGTATAGATCGTGTACTTTATCGATCACATACCTGTATAGATCGTGTACTTTATCAGTCACATACCTGTATAGATCGTGTACTTTATCAATCACATACCTGTATAGATCGTGTACTTTATCAATCACATACCTGTATAGATCGTTTACTTTATCAATCACATACCTGTATAGATCGTGTACTTTATCAATCACATACCTGTATAGATCGTTTATTTTATCAATCACATACCTGTATAGATCGTGTACTTTATCGATCACATACCTGTATAGATCGTGTACTTTATCAATCACATACCTGTATAGATCGTGTACTTTATCAATCACATACCTGTATAGATCGTGTACTTTATCAATCACATACCTGTATAGATCGTGTACTTTATCAATAACATACCTGTATAGATCGTGTACTTTATCAATCACATACCTGTATAGATCGTGTACTTTATCAATCACATACCTGTATAGATCGTGTACTTTATCGATCACATACCTGTATAGATCGTGTACTTTATCAGTCACATACCTGTATAGATCGTGTACTTTATCAATCACATACCTGTATAGATCGTGTACTTTATCAATCACATACCTGTATAGATCGTGCCCGAAGAGTGGTCCCTGTTATAGAAATTCTCTTCCTCAATAATTTAGCTAACAAATCTCCATTTACTTTTCCTCCACCTAAAAATATAAATTAACAATTAATGAAAACTTTACTCTTTTATAATTAAGAAAAGTCCTTTTCCTTAAGATCAATCTATTCAATTATCTTCCTTAAGAATTGTGTTTTTCTGTATGTGAACAGCTGATGAAATATCAGAAACTATTCCATCTGCACTGTGATTTTTACTTTCAAATAAACTTCCTTTACACGTGAAAAGTACTTGATAAAAGTTTTATCCGATGATTTCTGGTTACGAAGTTTTAGTTTAAAAGGCAGCAATAGAAAAAAAAACAAACATATTTCAATAAATCTCTCTAAACACCTAAGAGTCCATAGACCACCCAGCGTCCGTCGGTTTTGGCACTTTGCATGTTTTGTTCATAAAACGATTCTCCAACACAGTCCAATATCAAATCAACACCTTTACCTAGAAAAAAATAAAACAAAACAAAACAATGAAATATTCACACCAAAACTTCAGATGAAGTATCATCATCTTGTTTGACATAGCGAAAGAAACATTAATTGTGTTTCAGTGGTACAAGACGGACAGGTTATCTTTTGGGAACGTGCGATCAAACTTAAAAAACAAAGCTCTTCGTGTCAAAATTAGTTTTGATTTTCAAGAATATATAAGATTTATATGTGTATTTACCATTGGTGACCTCCAGGACCTTCGGTCCAAAATCCCCATCCTTGTAGTTGAATCCTGCCACAGCCCCTAGATCCTTTGCTTTGTTGATCTTTACTTCAGAACCAGCTGTCACAATAGACGTGACGCCGACTAACCCCGCCAGTTGTACTGCCGCTGTCCCTACCCCCGAGCCCCCAGCGTGGATCAGTACGCTCTCCCCGGGCTGTATCTTACCTGATGTATTTACGTCATAAGTGTCACTTAACGATATTTCTACATATTTCTCTTAAATGTCTGATGTTCATATTTCAGAGATTTATTTAGATTCAAACGAAAAGCATTATGATGTAATTTCCTAGATATATAACATATGTGTTTTACCAGAAACTACTACCGATTAAGATATCTATCTAATACCGATATTTTACCTGCTATGCCCATGCTACACACAGACGTAGTATTCGTACAAGATTTACTGATATTTTCAATCCATGCTGTGTTGATAATATTTCAGACCTTAACGGGATCAACAACATCCAAGATAACATCTACCAATCAACAGACTGTTATACAGACGCAGCTATCAAAGAATTACACTTCTGACTTGTAAACACCTCTCTGTGACAATTCTGTATACTCACAGATTCTGTCGTTTATTGTAATGTTAATGTTTTGTATTTACTTCAAAATCAAGAAAATGCCATTTTTTTCTCAATGACTATTCTTCAACGCGTTTGACCATTGTAAAGCATTTTGTATATTTGCCCGTATCGAGGCATTTTTAAAGTGGTGTACAAACTACTGAATTAAAGCGTTTCCGTGAATATGATGACGTACCAACTGTGTGGAGAAGCTGGAAGGCAGTTAACCACACTTCCGGTATAGCTGCTGCCTTTGTGAAAGTAAATCCTGCCGGTACAGGCATAAGAAGATCCTCGTGTCCAGCCACATACTCGGCATTACCTCCGCCTACAGATCAAAATTCAGTGTAATATGTATATCAAATGTGTCAAACATTTACCGTAAGAGCAGTCAACCAAAGGTCAAAAATAAGTGTCACTATACTTATGTACTTAAAACATCGGAACGTATATTTCATGTTTATCGTCACCACAGCATATATCAAACATAAAATGTTTCATTTAAACCCTTACACGGTATTCCTCCTCCTAATTTACTCTCCTTTTGAAATTTTTAAACATTTCAGTTTATCATAATCTCATTTTCTTTTAAATGTAAAAATCTAAACGAGATTACACATCTGGAACACTTCGACCATTTCTCCCAGAAAAATGCTGAAAGGTCAATAAGAACTTCCGGATGCTATACCGTAACATACATATGTTAAGGATTTCTACTTTCAATTACACTACATTTGTATGACGATCGTACATCCTGGAAGTTACAATTTGTTTGCTATAAACTATGCAAATCCAAAAAAGACTAATTACAAAATTAGCAAAATGCACATATCCACATACTTATGTGAGTTTTTCTAACGTTTCACATGTAGCTTATTAATACAGATAAAGTGATTGTCTACATGCATTACTAACCAACCGTTATCAACGATCACTTATCAATTATGGATATTTGATGAGGTCAATATGATGTTAAACATATGTACCTAAAAGGTTAACATAACACCATAGTGACCGAAATCAAAGGTTCTTGATTGTGTATGGCATTTTATGTACTAGTAATATGATTATCGCTGTGTATATATTTATCAAACAGATTTATCTTAAAATTGAACATTCAGACAAATGCATGATTAACAACTGTGCAATCGTTTTTAAAACAGTATGAAAAAATCCTAACACCTTTTAACAAACAAAATTAAACAGAATATCACAAATTATCCTCGTAGACACACATAGCATATTGTTGGAATCGTATGGTCTGGCTGTTGAAAATTAAGTAACATGGGAGACCATATGATCCAGTTGTTCTGGATTTAGAAATGTTACAGTCCCCATGGTCGGGCTGTTCTAAATTTAGGAATATTGAGTCCATATCTTATATATTGACTTGCACGTGATTTATCCATTCAGAACAAGAAACCTAGGTTTAGGTAATATTAGAGTACATTCGCCAAAAAGAAAAAGATATAGATATACATCTGATGGACATGACGACTTCATGCAAAGCACCAAAATCAACAAGATATATATATATATATATATTAACATATACTTTGAAAAATGTCATTTTGTGATACCTTGCTTAATTGTTGGTTGAATTTTATGTAGTGAAAACGCATTCATATATAAGTTGTGATAGTTCCGTCAATTCATCATACCGAATGATACTGTTAGCTTTTATGTTCATGCCATTTTAAGTGCATCATTCTAACAAAGGCAAATTAAAGTAAACACTAAGTACATAACTGTTGTGAGCTTTCTTCAGTCGTCGATTATTATTACCCTTGTTTCTTATACCGTATTGGAGGTCATGAAAGTTGTCAACAACATCGCTTTGAGTTAAAATTCACATTGTTATGAATACTACTCTCCATCCAACACATCAATACGTTTTTTAATGACCTTACCAGCTAACAATGCCATGACCCTGTCTCCTTTCGTCCACCTACTTCCACAATTCGGTCCTATTGTCTCAACAGTACCGACAGCTTCCAAGCCGAGGATTTCACTTTCCCCGGGGGGTGGGGCATATCGGCCCTTTCTCTGTTAATAAAAGCATAGCAACAGGTGTCACTCAAATGGCTGGTGCACAATACAGCGTTGATACCGTAAATGAGACAGAAAAAGTACTGGTTACCACCAAAATAAATCAAAATATTGTTAAATTCAAGAGAAACCAATGGTCATGAAACACACACCCTTTGCTTGATATTACCTGTAAAATATCTGCCCGGTTGATAGCTGTGGCATAAACGCGAATCAAAACCTCGTGTTCGCGGAGCTCAGGGATTGGTACCTTGTCGATGCGCATGCTTGACGCAGCGCCATCTGATCCGAACCGTACAGCGTTCATCATCTACAAATAAACACAACATTGGTCAAATGGGATATGATTTTTTTTGAAATCCAAACATAAAAACTATCACATGGAATAGTATTGACTTGTCAGAAGATTAAAACAGAAATCTGGTTTGTTTGTTCACGTGTTGACAGTCTACCGTTCTTGGTGTCATTCACGCAACAACGAAGATAAAAGTATACCGTTCTCGCACCAGCCTGAGTTATGTGAGGTCTGATGTCATGGTAACACGATGAAGGTAACGGTATACCGTTCTCGCACCAGCCTGAGTTATGTGAGGTCTGATGTCATGGTAACACGATGAAGGTAAATGTTTTTAGTTGTTGCACCAGCCTGGGTTATATGAGGTCTGTTGTCATGGTAACACGATGAAGGTAAAGGTTTTTAGTTGTTGCATCAGCCTGGTTCATATGAGGTCTGATGTCATAGTAACACCACGAAGGTAAAGGTATACCGTTCTCGCACCAGCCCGTGTTATATGAGGTCTGTTCTCATGGTAACACGATGAAGGTAACGGTATACCGTTCTCGCACCAGCCCGTGTTATATGAGGTCTGCTGTCATGGTAACACAATGAAAGGTAACGGTATACCGTTCTCGCACCAGTCCGTGTTATATGAGGTCTGCTGTCATGGTAACACGATGAAGGTAACGGTATACCGTTCTCGCACCAGCCCGTGTTATATGAGGTCTGCTGTCATGGTAACACAATGAAAGGTAACGGTATACCGTTCTCGCACCAGTCCGTGTTATATGAGGTCTGCTGTCATGGTAACACGATGAAGGTAACGGTATACCGTTCTCGCACCAGCCCGAGTTATATGAGGTCTGCTGTCATGGAAACAACAATGAAGGTAAAGGTTTATAGTTGTTGCACCAGCCTGGGTCATATAAGGCCTGGTGTCATTCACACAACAATGAAAGTGACCAACGTAAAATGATGTGAAAAATAAAGGTCCAAAATTCTATTGTAATTTGGGGACCAGATCAATACTGATTTCTTCAGTAAAACTGTGTCGATCTACGACAGTATTTATGTTGTTCGAGTGGTGTTTGCATAGGTTACATCCTCTCAACAACTTCAATTAATGAAGACGGTGTGTACTAATGATGGAAGCCAACGAGGGTCGATTTTTCAGTGTCGCCACACTGAAATGGCAACCTTGACACGGGAGCATTATTTTTTGTATATTCAATGTCATTGAAAATACGTCATGTTTGCTTCATGTTTTCTGTACAACCAGTAAAAATTAAACAATCCTCAAAGTAATTCTTGCAGTAATCTAATGAGGCATATGCCTAGCTAAGGATCCCTGTCAGGGCATATTTAGCATGCTGAGATTGACATGTCAACACTTTGAAACACGACAATAAAAAAATGGGAAAAGTGCACTTCAGTAAAGTTAGGCGACAAAGGACAAACAAAATAATAATTCGTTTTACTGTTAAATTTAACATTGGTGTAAGGGGTATGATAAGTTTTTTTATCGCCCGAAGTGAAATGAAATGAATTCGATCTTGCTATATTAATCAGCTCTATACTTAGACCGTTTCTTTAAGTAGAAAATGTTTGCTATACATGTGATATACAATTATAAATATAATGAAATAATTAGTATCACTAACGTAAGCTGTCGCCAAGAAAATCGAACATAAATGCATACTATGTATATGTTTGTAAATAGGACAGCTCCTCCATGTTTCGCTAGATGTCAATGTAACCATATCTTGGATTTGTTTGTGGACTTAGTGCTTACACCATTCAGAGTTGAACGTTATCAAAGTTACATAGAAATGTAACAACATATCTAGTTATGAAAGTTGGCATTAAAACAAGTATTTAAAAAAAATCTGCAATGATCCACTGGTGGTCACTTGGGATCCTACGAAGAACAATTTATTCAATTCAAGACGATTGTATTGACCTTCACGAAATACAACTATACATTATAAGATCATACCCCTTACACGTACCCTATGGCTGAACGTTCTAGCATGCCATACCCATTTACCTGATGTTCAGCGCAGTACAGAATTCGTCGTATTAAACCGATTCCTTGTTTCGAACTCATACTCAAACTCAGGTTGACACCAGGTTAAGTTTTCCTACACTACTGTAACACGACAACATCATATTCCGTTAAATTCTACTTTCGATTTCATTACTTGTAAATTACAGCTGTGCTTATACTGCTACATATCCTGCTTTCTAGTAATTATCCGCATTCCCGGATATTTTAACGGAATTCCTTGTATGTATGGTTTCTGCTTATCATTGTGATTGTGCATATGTCTGTAACATAATTCTTAATTTGGGTATTAAATTTTAAAGTTAATCTTCTTTCGCTTCTCTCTGTATCACGGTGATACGGGATATATCTGTATATGCAACTTTGTAACATATACCAAAGTGCATGACGTCATATCATTTACTGTGTTATATGTCTATGCTCCGTTTCTAAAATGTCTGTGGGTGCACCAGTATCTTTATATAATGACTAGACACTGGACAAGTGACCGATCGACAGGCGACTACACTGCACGGACACTTCACCCGTGTTTCCCATAACATTGATGCATGACTTACTGCATTCAAATATTTTAACATTTTGATTTAATTACAGGTACACTTGGACATCAAGTTGCTTGATAGACCTGATTTGTTTAATTATTAATTTTCTGGTCAATGCTTTGATCTAACTCAAGTAGTTTAAATGTTGGACACATTTCTCCAAAGAGGGGACATATGTAGCCCGGTACTATTGTATTACTGGATATACTAGTACGTGTAACCTGTGTGACGTCACCGTGTTATATGTCCTTGCTCCATTCCTCAAATGTCTGTGGGTGCACCAGTGGACATTATATAATGACTGGACACCGGACAACTGACCAATTGATAAGCGACTACACTGCACTACACTTCACCGGTATTTCCTACCACCTTACCACTTCATATCTAAAGACCTGGGCCCTTCAACTGCGGGTCTTCACATTTTTATTGCAATATTTTCTAATATACAGTTACCTACTGCCAGGCTTGGCATCAATAACGTTGATGAGTGAAAGGACAGTCGTTCCCGGTATGAAATCAGATGTATATTTCAAATTATTAACTGTATAAATCTATTTATAGATATCTATGTATCACTTTGTTATATTCAATTATATGTGCAAGAGATATTGATTTAAATGTTTTATTGTATTTTTTATTCCATGTGTCTGAGAAATAAATGTGTACAACAGAACATAGTCTTGGGAGTCATGAACTACAACCCACTAGGTCTCATTCCTTTATTATTTAACTACACTTAATATTCATATTACTGCAGTTGTGACCAAACATAACAATTAAAATATATCACTATTTTTCTTCTAGCAATTCATTGGGCAGGCAATACATATACTTCTCTGTCAAGTGGCTTGCCAATTGAAAGAGATTATGTCGGGTCTGCCGCCTGTCACCAAAGTCTATAAATAGTAAACTTCCTGTTCTCATGTTCTCTCTTGACTTTAAGAGTAAATGAGATGAACGGACTGGTTCGTCTGGTATCAGTGATCGGGTGGGGCATTATAATACTGTGTCCAAGTTAGGGAATTTCAGCCTCTTGTATTTTGAAATATCTTGGATATCATTTCTTGGGGAAAAAATAGTGAAATTTTCGAAAGACCAGGTACAGGTGATAAACTGCCTCCTGTCTTTTGAAAATAACCCTATTTTTTAACCCCAAGGGGCCTGCATCACTCAGCTGGCTAATTCAGCTATTTAGTCATTTAACGAAAATTTCAAATTTGACAAATGATTTTTTTAAATAGGGTCCGGGACTTACGGTTAAACAGAAGTTAGATTTACAATTCATATCAATTGCTTCAGACCAAACATGGACAATATCCTTGTACGAAAGATTTTTTTTAGAACTTACATTTCCCCTATTGAGCCCCAACCCTCCCGCCTCAATGGACCAGGATCCATCATTTCTACAGAACTGATCCCACTTCTTCCAAGAAAACTTCAGACCAAATTTCAAATTTGGGCAAAATTAAACCATTTTTACTGGAGGAGTAGAATTTTAAAGAATTTGCTCTATTTCTCCTTTTGTGTCCCGCCTCTCCCTCCCAAGAGAGTCAAAATCCACTGTTTACAACCAAGAATGCTCCAGACCAAATTTAGGAAACATTCACTCATTCCTAGAGTAGCAGTAGGATTTAAATAGGATTTTAAAGAATTTATGAAATAATTATACTTCTTATAAGTATATGGTTGAAATGTTTTACTCAAGATTTATATACTGACACGCAAAAGAAACGCAACCGCTAAATGTTTGTAACAATTTTACTATTTCATTCAAATATGTCATTTATCTTTTTCAACTAACCAAAGATTAAAATTCATTTTATTGGATAACACATTAAATTTAGTGTTTAGTTATCACCAATGTGACGAAACATGTCAAGATTCAAGAGGTGGTAGTCATTAAAATTTCCCCAGTCTCAATAACGAATATGCCCCCCGTTTGCATTCGTTGCGGCGCGAATTATGTGATGCATAGAATTTATTATACGGTTTATTTGTGTCAGGGATGCTCCGCCATTCTTCCAGAAGTGCTTGGCGCAAAGCGTGTCTGAAAAGGTCATTATTTAAGGTACTGGATTTATTTCTTAACCTAGCGTGTAGTTTATTAGCCTTACGACTACCAAGCAAATAATAATATGGAACTAGTGTAGTGGGTCGAAGAGAATGTTTAAAGATAGAGTAAGAAACACTTTGTCTAAGTTCAAGTTCAAGTTGGTTCCAAAGTCCAATAGTGGACGGAAAGAAAGATAAGTTTGTTAGTTGTAGTCTGAAATTTAGTAAAGAATAATTTTGTGCATTACGGAGGTTATATTGTGAATTTTCAGATACTAAAGGGGGCAATAGAGTAGACAGATAATTTGGAGTGAGATTATTAATTATTTTGTAGAAAAGCTGTAGTTTTCTTCTAGTGCGTCTTTCTGATAATGGTTCTACACCACTCTCAGAATACAGTGATTCTCTACTGGTATATGAGGGTAAACCAGTGATAATTCTGATAGATTCTAACTGAAGTTTTTCTAGTTTGTCTGCATCACTGAGAGAACATCCATCCCAAACTTCACAACAGTATTCTAATAATGGAAGTATATAAGCCTTATAGATTTTGACTAAAGTTTGTCTATTTAACATGTATTTTAATTTACGTAGGATACTTACCTGTTTAGATGCATCTTTACAAATGTTTTCTATATGTTTACCAACACATTCCCACCTGCATTCCAGCTTTTTTAAGCGATGCAAGGGAAACAACTCTCACGTATTGCTAGCAAGGTTCGAGCCACGTACTTGATAATACTCATTCTCACACGAACAGAATGCGATGCCTTTTTTCTTTGTAAATGTGTTATTGTTGCTAACGTGATCTTTTGCAAATCTCAATGCTCACCTCTGACTCCACCAACGTCATAAAACACACGCTGACGACCGCAATGACACCGGGTAACATGTAGAACGCCGCCTTATCAGTGCATAGTGAAAGAAACGTTCACCGAGTACGGCTAATCCGGATTTGTCTCTAGACCGATCGGAAGTTTTTATCCATTTACTAATTACAATGTTTTTATTCCCATCGTTATTTTATATTTCCTTCATATTTATTTATTCACATGGAAAGTCAATCCAATGTTTCTTATCCTTCAGGAATAACACACATCCCGGTTCTATGTAGCGGGGTTCATGACATGTCGCAGAATCAGTTTTTAACAGTTCCAATAATCAGTTTTTGTATCAGCTGCCATAACCACAAAAAATATTTCTGAAGTTAATTTACAAACTAATGAGTTACGAAGGTTTTTTAATTTTATTTTTTAATATTCTATGTGTTATATTTAGAATATTGGAAAAATGCTTGGCTGGAAAACGAAATCACAATAGTGATTACAATGTTACTGTCAAGACAAGCAATTTATGAACAAGACTAAGCAAACACGTTGATATGAAATTTGGAAATAAATTCTAATTTATGAAATAGATAAAGCAACATTAAGTTAATGACCAAACCAGTATACAAAATATATTCGTAGTTGCAGGATAACACAGGATTTTTAAAATGCATAAAGAAAACGAACAAAAGCAAAAAAAAATTTGGCTATTAAAATAACCCATTTTTGTGTGGATTTTTATTTTATTTTAAATTAAGAAGACGTTCGGTCGTTATAATGAGGTATACACCTGTGCTGGACAATCTATTGAAATCATTTATACTTAGAATTAAAATACCTATTAAATTTTGTGTTAAGTGAAATAGATTTCTTTTGGACGAATCCTATAAGAAGGACACACCTGTATGGTGCAGTTTAATTCTTTGTATGTCTCTGCTGTATCTATTGTCTATTGTAATTCATGTCTTTTGTTTAACATTTATTACTGTTTAAGTTTTTGAACAAAAGGAATATTGAGTAGTGGCATTTGTCACGTATTCTCATATTTGTTGTATTGGAAATCATGTAATTGCAATGGAATACAGCAGTTCAAAAAGACAGCCTAATCAGGCAGACCTACCATAAGTTTCAACATCATCCAATAATGAATAAATTCATTTCTTTTAGGCCTAAAATTTTAATATGATTCGTATATGCCGAGCGTATCAAAATAAGCACTGTAGTCGCTTTTGTGTGTGTGGTTTCTTTCTGTTTGATTTTTTTTAGTCATTTGTTTGCCTTTTTGTTTTTCAATAAATCGTTGAGAGCAAACTAATAAAAGAACTTAAAGCAAAGCATGAGACTTTCCAGTACAACGTTACCACGTTTATCTTGATCGCACATATGTACACACCTTGCATTTGTTAATTTCCATTATGAATACACACGAATGAAACAGCCAATTATATAGACCACGATCTAAAAGAATTCTAAAGTTTTCTGTTTCTCTGTACACTTTGTATTCAAAATCATTTTCCATATTTATACATGTATATATTCATTTGTTCAGGTTTGAGAACAAGCGGAGTTATCGTCTTAAGGAGTTTTTTTTATGTACACGTAATAGAACACCATAACACTACCCGGGAAAAAGATAATTTTGTAACATGCATTTTAACAATATCATATTAAAGATGTATATTTAAGATTATCTGAGGAATAATTGTGATATTTTTAACATTCATGATATAACAACATTTAATTTCTGGACATGTTTAATGGTACGATCCAATTTTGTATGACTATTGAATATTTACAACAACAAAAATCGTTCCCTACATTATACTTTACTTCCTTATCCATATTAACCCGATATTAACATTAAAAAAGTATGAATTATGAGCAAGTTGAACAATCAAAGATTTAATTGCTCATCGACATCTATAGGCATTTTGTAAATATTTACATACTACCCCAAATCGTGCCCAATCCAACACCCTACCTATTATGTATTCGTGTTCGGTGTCTTTGACAAAGGCGCAACTTGATCCATTTTTTGTAAGCTTCACCCATGGGTTTAAAAACATTTTAAATCGTTCAACGTCATTACCTTCACTAATTTACTAATTTGACTATTTACATTAAGTAATTGTATCATTCATTATTGAATTATCTTTTTGATTTATTGTACTTTATAATTCATGTAACAATACTCACCCATTTTGAGTCATCTATACACTGAAAGAGATTAAAAATATATGAATTGATATTTTGTTCCAGATTTTACAATACCACTGCCTTTATCATACTGAACGTCCCATGTTACACATAAAAATGAAGCTCTCCTTTCATGTTCTAAAAATAACAAAAACAAACAACAAAGCAACCTTTGATCTTTACCAACATAATCACGATGTATGTATTAAGATATACCGCAGAAATTCAAACTTGCATTAAAAAACTGCAGATTGACCGAGAAATGTCAGTGCTGTGCAGTCAGGTCACCAACATTTACGCTTACCGTCACTGGGTATATGCTACCCCGTGGCGTCTGTCCTAAAATCATTAATGTTCCGCCGCGAAGTTTTACTGAATAGTTCTCTATTCTATAAATACGAGTTGATTGTATCGGAGTTGTTTTGTGAGGCCAGCTTTCAAGTGAAGTGGTTGAAATTATTCTACGTCAGTGTGCTCTGTCAAACGAATGCAAAAACATATAATAATAATGAAAAGGGGCCTATGAAGGGTGACATTTGATTTACTTTATTAAGATAACCTCGCAGTAGCTTCTATCATTAAATAAAAATGATTAGAATAAACATGAAACCGCCGAGTGTGGCAGGTAACACAACAAAAGTATAGCAACATGTATTGATTTAGCTACCGGCGGAAATAAAAAATGCTGACAACATGCCAGGGCTTATGATCTCTACCGCTGATGATCAATTGTTGATTCTCTTCGACGCTTGCGCATTTTTGGCTATGCACACAGTACGAAGTACAAAATCCTCAAACAGACGATAAATTATATTATGTAAGAAGATGTTGGTACAACGGTGGTAACGCCCCTACTCCAAGACTGTGTAAACAAAACACTTTAAAATTATATAACTAGTCAGTTTGTATCTGATATGTCCACATTTTTCCAATATAAAGATTTATGTCTTAGGAAATATACTTATTTGCACTCTTATATATTTAGAAAATAAACAATCCCTACCCCATACTTATCTGTAAGTCAATTTTAAATTTTCAGATAATTTGGTGAGAAATATACAAAAATGTAGTAAAGAAACTGGCTATCGTTCAGATCACTCCTCACCTTCAATATCTTTTAAGTTTAATGAGTTCAAAAAGGGAAAAGGTCTTTGGAAATTCAATAACTCATTACTGCATGACTCAGAGTATCTAGATTTAATTAATAAACTTATTTCTAAAGTTAAATTACAGTATGCTCTTCCTGTCTACAATCCTGATTACCTTACTATAATTCCTGACAATGAAATCAATTTCAAATTAATGATCAACTTTTTTTAGAAACATTATTATTCGAAATTAGGGGGAAAACAATTTTATACTCATCTTATAAGAAAAAGCAACAAAACGTACATGAGAAGAATCTTATTGAAGAAATTAATTCTTTAGGGGCCTGTGACAATGTAGATATAAATCTAGTTGGAGAAAAAAAGAAAACATTAGAAACAATTAGGCAACATAAAATGAAGGGAAATATTATTCGTTCAAAAGCTAGATGGGTTGAAGAGGGGGAAAACCTTCAAAATATTTTTCTAATTTAGAAAACAGAAATTTTACATCAAAAATTATTCCAATAATAGAAAAAGAAAATGGGGATATTATTAGAAAACAGGAAGATATCTTAAATGAAGTTAAAAAATTTATGAAAATTTGTATTCCAGTAATAGTAATATTAAAGATGTTGATTTAGATGCATATGTATATATATATATATAACAATAATATTCCTAAACTAGATAGGGCAGAATCATTATCACTGGAGGGTAAAATTACTTTGGAAGAAGCCTCAAGTACTTTAAGAAATATGAAAAATAATAAAAGTCCTGGGTCAGATGGATTAACAGCAGAATTTTTTTAATGTTTTTGGGAAAAGTAAGTAATTTTGTGGTTAGATCTGTTAATTATGGCTATTTGACTAGTAAATTATCTATAACTCAAAGACAGGGTATAATTACATGTCTACCAAAGGGAGATAAACCCAGGCAGTTTTTAAAGAATTGGAGGCCAATCTCTTTACTCAATATAATATACAAAATAGAATCAGGTTCAATAGCAGGTAGAGTAAAAAGGGTTTTAGACAAATTAATTGATATGGATCAGACTGGTTTTTATCTCTTTACCAAACCCCGAGGACTGTTTTATCAGAAAACTTAATACTGAACTTTATATTTTCTTATGGAATGGTAAAACAGATAAAATAAAAAGAGACATTATTATCAAAAACTATTTTGAAGGGGGGCTCAAAATGTTACATTTACAATCTTTCATAGAATCCTTAAAACTAACTTGGATTCGAAGGTTATATACAACAGAAGGAAAATGGCAGATTTTTTTAAAAACATACGGAAATAGCTACACTATGACTAACTGTGGTACTGACTATTTATCAAAATGTCAGAGAAACTGTAAAAACTTATTCTGGAAAGATGTGCTACTAAGTTGGGGCAAGCTAATTGAAAAGGGTGTAAACTATGGAAGCCAAAGAGGAACAAATATTCTTAAATCCCCAATTTGGTATAACAAATCAATAAAAATACAAAACAAGAGTGTTTTTTTGGAGGAATGGTATAGAAAGGGGGTAATGATAGTCAATGATATAATAAAAGAAAAAGAAATAAATCTTTCTACATTCATCAAGAGTTCATACAAAAATTTGGCATCCAAACAAATTTTCTTACATATCAAGGTATCATTAATTCTGTAAAAAAAATTCATTTTACCTGAAGATATTACTAATTTGAATGTTGACTATCCATACATCCCGATGAATTTGGAATTTTTTCTTAGACATAAAAAAGGAACTAAAGATTTCTACCATGTTCTATGTCAGAATAATACAGTATCTACGGGTAGAAAGAAGTGGGAGCAAATGTTTGACTTTAATAATGATATATGGAAAAAAATCTATACCATTCCCTTTAAAATAGTAAAAATACCAAACTACAATGGCTCCAATTTAGAATCAATCAGCATATTTTAACCACAAATTTTTATCTTTATAAAATTGGTCTTGTTGACAGCCCTTATTGTTATCACTGTAAAACTGATATTGAGACTATAATTCATGCGATATGGGAATGTCAAGAGATACAAGCATTTTTAACTGACTTTGAAGCAGTGTTAGATCTATTGTTAATTCCATTTGCTTTTAATAAAGAATCCTTCATATTTGGTTTCTTTGATAGGAAAACTAATGTTGACAATTTAGTCCTACTTATTATCAAACTTTACATCTATCAGGCAAGATGTCTGCAAACTGGTCTGTCACTTTCAGCTTTGAAGAATTTATTTAAAGATACATATAACACTCAAAAATACATTGCTACAGGATATGGGGGAAATTATCTCACCAATTTTAAACAGGAATGGAGAAAATGGAAAGACTATGCAGTGAAATTTTAAATCATTTTTGGATTATTTTCTTTTTTAACTTTGTTAGCTGAATGTATCAAAAATGAAATAAAATAATAAAGCCCCTGTCAGATCCTACTGGCACCATACTCATCCTCTCCATCCCTCTCCTTCTTCATCTCTCTTACTGCTACTTTGCTCATTTTTCCCTTTTCTCTAAAAACGGTACACTATAACTTAGCACTTACTCTAGTATCAATCTTAATGTCAGGCTTTCATTTTTTACTCTATTTACATTCCTTTGTACCTAAGTGAAAATGGCCATGTGTGAGTGGAATGTTCGATGTGGTATGTTTCATGTATTGTTGAAAATCTTCAAAAAATAAAAAAATAATGAAAATTTTTTAAAATTTATATCAACCACAAATAAACCGCAAATCTGTGCGATATTTTATTTCATCTAGTTCTTCTGTTGTGCACACGTCTGGTAACGTTGTGTGATCCCACAGCTCTATGGAAAGGGTTATCGATGCGATTAACTCGTTAGATAGTTACTTACTGAACCTCTATTGCTGTATAGAGGGTCAGTATGTGATTATCTAAATTATATATATATATATATATATATATATAACATCCTATTAACAGCATTGGTCATGCAAAGACAGCCACTATATGTATGGGAGTGAGTACATGTGTTTGAGAAAATACATCAACAATTTTGTAAAAGAATTCTTAAATTGAGAAGTAATACCCCAAATTATATGATATATGGGGAACTTGGTCGTTATCCACTAGAAATTGATATTAAGACTCGAATGGTGACTTTTTGGCATAGAATTATTACAGATGAGAATAAATTATCATGTATACTCTATAATTTAATGAACAAACTTCAGTTACAAGATCAAATCGATTTCAAATGGTTGAAGTCCATAAAGTCAATACTAGATAACACTGGATATGGCAGTGTATGGAATAACCAACATAGATGTACTGTTGATAGAATCTTTTTGAAGTCTAAAGTTAAACGAAGATTAATTGATCAGTTTATTCAGAAGTGGTACCATGACACTGATATTTCTTCACGTGGAGAAACTTACCCAATCTTTAAAAGCAAATGGAAATTAGAGACTTATTTAATTAAACTAAACCCAGCAGATAGAAAAAAACATGGTGTAGATTTAGAACATCTAATTGTAAGTTACCAATCGAAACTGGTAGATGGACAGGTGTACCTCGCCAGGAAAGAATTTGTTTATTATGTAATTTAAATATTGGCGATGAGTATCATTACCTTTATCAATGTGAAAACGACTATATTAAAGAAATACGTCAAAAATACTTACCTAAATACTATTACCAACAACCAAGTGTTTTGAAAATGAAAGGAATGTTCACTATTTGTAATGCCCCTTTACTTCGGAAAGTAACAAAATTTATACAAGAACTAGAAAAAATACTTAGTAATTTCTGAATTAATTGTATGTATCTAAGATTAAATGTAAGTATGTATGGGCATGTATGTACACATATGTATGAATGTATGTATGTATGTATGTATGTATGTATGTATGTATGTATGTATGTATGTATGTATGTATGTATGTATGTATGTATGTATGTATGTATGTATGTACGTACGTATGTATGTATGTATGCGTGTACGTATGTACGTATGCATATATGTAGGTATATGTGTATGTATGTGTGTGTGTATGTATGCACGCAGTATTACATGTATGCTGGTATGTATGCACATTTCACTATGTATAATGTATCTGATTATTTGCAGACAATATGTAACAATGTATCCGATTGTATCTGATGATTGACCTCCTGTTACACACTTATGGTATGTCTGGAGTGATTAATAAAACTTGAAAACAACGAGAAGGCTGTGGGATGATCGTTTAAGTCTTGATGTAACCGTGCGGAACAAATGTCAACGCTGTACAGGTAGTATTATCACAATGACATCTATGGTGGAAAGCACGAAGCATATACCCCACCCAGTCACGTTATCCTGTCAAACAAGTCGTTATTCAATCCCTTCACTGACTGTTCAGCAGACTGACTGTTTTTACATGTTTCCTCTGAATTAGAATACAAATAATAAAGATGCGAATTTTGAGTGTTGACATGTTAAGTACGTCAATTCAGACCGAAGTGTCTCTCATACATGCTGTAGCGTACTTCCTTGAAGTTTTTCATGAGGTCCTGTTTCAGGTCAATTCAATACACGCCGGGTAAGACTGGTTCTGGTTAGCTCTATGGCAGCCTGGGCAGCTTTTCTTTATAGGTGTTCGGAGCATAGTGACATATTTCTGCAGAGTTCATAGGATAAAAAGAAAACAAGAAAATAGATAAACTTTCATTTAATGTGCAAAATCTTTCGAGCGAATCGATTATATAATAAACATTTATTGTACAACATAAAAGTTATACTTTGTTAATTCATTGAAATGGAATCTGTGAAGCAAGTCACACTCACTATCTTTGATGAAATAAGGAAATAAACCATACACACACAATCACACACTTTCAAATATATCATATAAATTCTTTATCTCTAGTTCCTTACCGTAATATAAGAAGGACAATTTTCATTTTTTTAGTCGAATAATAATCACTTCCTTACACATTGGTAAAATAACGTCCATTTATAAATGTACATGCTCTCGTTATCACATTTACTCTCGTACTTAATGTACAATCTAGTCATTTAAAAATTACATCAATATGTAAAAATATTCAACAAAACACGCTTAAATCAGACATGAGAAAATCACAGCATTACATTGTGTGTTTTCACAAAATTCATGCGTCATTCAATAACGATGAATACTGTAAGAAATCAGCCGATAATTACGAAATACTGTACGAAGTCATGAAGACTATAGGTAAAGAACCATGACATGCGGCCCTTAAACATCGCTGGCAAAAAATGTATACATGCTGAATGGAATTATGTTGTCAAAGGATGCAATATATCTAAAAGTCTAACTCTTAAATATGAGACTCACAACTTATCAACCAGCCCTCGTAAAACTAGTAGTGTTTTGTAGGAAAAGGGAAAAGACGGAAAGACGGGCGGACGACGGATTCCGCGGTATGACATAAGTTTTGTGGCATGTTCTTTCGGGGCAGGTGAGCTAGAACGGTGTTCCGACTATTCTGGAGTCCTTTCCTGACGACGAGGCAGATCGGTTATGATCTTTATGATTCTATGTAGATACTTTTTTAGTGCTGTCTGTTTTGCGAAATTACGTGTAAGTGTATATAGACTGTCTTGATGCATCATCACCAACGAAAAAAGTCTTTTATTCTTGAAAAAATCTGCAAAAATGAAAAAAAAAACACACATATAAATAGAAGATAATTTATATATAATTACTTACAGAATATAGTGTCAAAACACATCGTAAATGTTACATTACAAAATATGAAAAAATAATATTTTCTAATTTTGAAATCAATGTTGTTATTTTTAGAAATGCTGTTCATTTCATATATATATATACAAATCAAAAGGACTAATAGAGAACTTACATGTGTACGCCTACAAGTCTTCGTGTCATTGTGAATCCACCGGTATAAATCAGTGATTTCCTGGTCCCGTCTTGGTTGGTGTAATTTAGTGCAAAGTTCGATAGCAGCCATGGGTGTATCCAAACTTAGGCGATAGAGTTTCTTCCATTCAAAGTAACTGTTGAATTCTGTATCGTTGTTTGCAAGATAAATCAAATACCTACCTAGATGTGCAATGGAATCAAAGTCATGTAAATTTATAAAAGATTTCGGCGGTACAAGTTCTGTAATTGACGTTTCTTCAACCCATGGCCAATGGACGACAGGAATGACTTCGTCGCGAAGAGAGTTCCAAAACTTCTCGGTGATGTAATCCCTGCATATTGAATTCTCCAACGCAATCCTAAATCGATATTTGTTTGATCTACATATGTGTTCTGTTCCCGGACAAGGTAGCGATCCACAATTTCCATACTGATGTAGTTGGATGTAACGTCCAAGCTCTGACAGAATTTTCAGTCTATGTGCATCATCAGCACAGTTACTAACAATTGATGCAGCCATCATTGATCTGGTTGCTGCATAATTAATTGGCGTGTAATTCTTGCGTTCATCGTCAGTTAGCGGGATATATCGTCCGTAATAACTATGCACTGTTGATTCCGGTCTATACGTCATTGTCCAGTTAAACATACTGTTTATACGTTTCTTATAAACACTTGAAACTGCATTGAGAGGTGATTCTGCATTAGTTATAATCCATATTTGACTGCTTTCTCTGTATTCCGGAATCACACTATCTATATCACGTAGATGAAATACAACGGCATCTGCAAACTTTATTTTTGATTTATCTCCGGTAGCAATACATTTAAACTTACACTGTTGAAACGCTGTATTAAAATAATCCGCCCAGTTATGATCAGAGAAGAAGTAGGTCCATATCAACACAGTCTTCGATGTCTTGTTTATCCAATTTGATGTGTTGTGTATCAAAACAATAGGCTGATCCGTGGCATTCAGGTTATAGGAATAAAACCACATTTTCTCCATCACAATAACTATTAGTACGAATATAATAAACCATAATACACGCTTTCGAAGAGGTTTGATTTTCTTAATACCCATACAGACGTGTCCGGAATCAGATAGCAAGCTTCACTGCCACACAGAGCTCCTTTGTCCGTTGGTTATATATAGCACTACTAGCTTACTCACTCAAGCGGTTTAAGTATAAATATACGGTGGCCCATAATGGCAAACCAAATATCCATAACAAATTTAAATCTAGTTGTGTTAGTAGCACTCTCAGGTAGCAGTACACAGTTTCTCGGTGTGGCCATGGGTGATTTTTTTTGTTCATTAGATTACCCCATTATAAAGGTTTTAATTAAAAATGATAAAAAAATCCTTACTAAAATTGGTCTTGTCATGTTTAAGTGGACAATGTGGGGTTTCATTTTTTTCAGGATAATATCTTAGCTTTGTGTTGGAGATTACTATTTGGGTCTCGAATCTCTGTCTACGCACTAAAAACTAGTTTTACAGGAAGTGAATTTTTCATAGTGTTTACATGTGGTCATGTTATGAAGAATTTCCGAGTTGGAATTTGCTGAAATGTATGTACTTTGTTACCACGACAGTATTGTTGATTGTAAGATAGGTGTTTAGAACTAAATTTCTTCTAGAAAGTTGTAGTTTTAGGATGGAATTAGCAATAGTTTTGCATTTTTAGCTTTTTTTTTTTCAGTAGGTAACTATGACAATCAAATGTCAGAAATCAGTGGTAATTATTTTACACAAATTTCATCTCTCTACTGTTAATGTAATTGTTATGTAGTTTATAAATATATATACATGTAACGATGTATTTTTCATAACCAATCTGCTATACCTGTATATCTCAAACATGACAAATAATTTCAGGAAAAATGCAAATTAACTGTTTCCTGCTACCTCAATCATGTAGTGAAACCATATGGACTAAGACCACAATTAAATACTTCCGGGTTCAGTACCCACGAATGAAGTCCCTAAAAAATGTATGTATGTTAGGGAAAAAAATAATATGCCTCTTTGAGTTGGATTTTTGCCTATAAATTTGATGTAGATGTGTTATAGAGATGATAATCTAACTGTCAGTGTGTAAATCATTCATATTGAACATGCATTTTGTGCTGCAGGATCCGGTGTAAAAAGTCCTGTTTTCACCTTTACCCCTGACCCGGATGTATATAATTGACGTTGGTGACACACATGGAGGTATATCTCCAGAAAATGCCCAACATGGTGGGTTGAAACTTTTACATTTTGCTTCTCAGATGTTGACCTTGGCCAGGTGAAATGGAAATTTGCAGATGAAACTTTGGGACTTAGTTATGAATTTTAATGTTACAATGAAACATTTAGTGAAAATAATTGTGGTCTTAGTCCATATCAGCGCTAAGCATGCTAGAGTTATTTCCCTTTTACTATTATGTAACTTATGTGTACTACGTCATCAATAAAGGGGCTTCCTTGTGTAGTAATGGCCGGGTCATGTTGTTTATACTTCACTAGTGTTTAGAATTTATTAGGTCGCATATATCCATAAATGTTTAGAGATCGACATTTACATTTATAATGTGTCAGATATAAAACCAGATATAAATTCTGCATGTTGATCAATATTTCTCTGTTTTTGAGTAGGGTGTGAAAAAATTCCATTTACATGAAGTCTTGAAAGTGTCGCACGTATGCTTGTGGTTGTGTGGGTCTTTCTACAGAATAGCATAATGTGTAACACAACAATCCAAGGCCGTTCACACGACACACAGTTTATTGAACATTTAAACTCATATACACGAAGACAGTCACCTGAAATAAAAATGCAATATCTTAATATAGAGCTTACGCGCATAAACGTGTAACACCCAATATTCAATACCGTAATGTATTAAATATTTATAGAAATTCATTAACTTGTATATCTTATTACAGAGAATTTTATATCTACAATTACAACTCCTGTTTTGACCCCACCCTATGATAAACAGAACCTGTCCATGTATGTATTTAATTATGGCCTAACATTTTAAATAGTTAAAATACGGACGGTCAATTAGATGAAAGTAATATTTTACATAATATTTTAGTAGAGTAATATTTAAATGTAGTTTTAGATATTTTTTTTTTTCAAGATTTTACAAAGGTATGCAACACACGATATATATTAGACTCACATACACATACACACCCTAGCACACATCACACTACACCCATGTACACTCACTCAAAACATGCACTCATTATTTCCTACTCTTTCCTCTTTGCTGACATGACATACAATGTACTACTGTGTTTCATTCACACGCCCCAATAATAATACAAACTCAATGACTGCTGTCATCATCATCATCATCATCATCACATAGTTATCATCATGATCATCGTATCATCATCACTTCATTAGATATGTTAGATATGTTAGATATTTTTAAGTAAATTAAGCAACACTTGCCTGCACTATGGCAGTAATGCACACAGGCAATATCAGTGAGTGCATACAGTATTAGGCCTGTTGACAGGACAGCGTCCTGGTGCGCAGTAATCCGAATTTTCACTCAGGTAAGGAAATTTGGGAAACTTCACGGGCAATGACAGGGCCATGCAGGGTCAAAGTGCAGGTCACTCTCATCTAGTCACTTTCACCCACCTCTCATACACAGTACATTACTATACACAGGCACACAATACACAACGCAAGTATTAACATATACATGTACACGGTATATATTACATTATTTAAATTACTGGCCAAACTATATATATAACTACATGTATATATAAGTTTGACCACCGTGGCAAAAGCAACGATACCAAGAACTACTAAGACATGTTTACCTTTATTCTCTAATTCGAAGGAAATTGATCTTTTAAAATAAATTTGGTATCCTTTTAAACCACCTGTGTAGATGTCACTACACAAAACAGCTGCCTTTGCACTGTATGTACAGTGTCATCATTTGCATCTGCGCTTTCCCCACTAACTTTAAAATGACCAATAATATAATTTCTTTCTTTAAACTGGACAGTCGTCCATTAGAGGCATTAAAATCTTAATTACCAAACTGTTCAGAAATCGGAATGGCCGTTTCTTAAATTATATGTCCACGTATTGGTAAGATTTTAGCACGGGCATGCTCAACCCATTTTAAAACCAGTAACATCACATGTCCGTATTTGAAAAGTTTCCGGTTTTCCGGGGCATTGTCTGAAAACTGACGTTTTAATCCTCCTTCTTACAGAATATCTGAAACTGTTGATGTTCCCATACCATAAATATTTGCTATCTGTGATGACTTTGGACGTTGCTCAGACTGATTTATCAAGTCATTGTTCCCCCAAAGGTAGTTCTGTTCCTGTCCATTTTGTGTCGTTTTCTTTCTTTCTTTCTTTTACTTAACCCCAAATCATGATTTCACTAGACAAATGAGGATGTCATCACACTATTTACATAGCATGGCGTAGTTAACATGATATACAAAAATATTTTAGATTCCATCACATTTGTACCATTTTAGGTGTTTACCCAGACCTTCAGAGCTGTACATTTACACAGCTTTAAACGTACATTGCTATTTGTAGTTAACAAACTTATACATAGTTGAAACAGTATAATAGACACATATATAGGCTCTAATATCAGAAAAATGGTTACACACTAATAAATAACGATATTCGTCACCGACTTCATCAACATTACAAATTTCACATTCCCTATCATTCCTTGTAACAGCATTCCATCTGCCATCCTCCATAGGAAGACGATGGTTTGTCGTTCTGTAATTTGTTAGACACTGCCAACAATAATTTGGAATATTACTTGTTAAATTATCTTTTCAGCTCAAGCGTAAATAGTATATATAAATTTTCAACAGAGCTTGACCAAGTTTGTATACAGTGATCGTATCATCTTTGTTTAATGACCTGTTTTAACCTGTTGATATTTAAAACATGACTGGCCATACCATACATCATCTATACCACATTCTTCTAATACAGTCCTAATAAACTGTAACCATGGACTATCTAATGAATAATTATAATTTAATCGAAAAATTGTAAAGAACATGAGACAACTTGTTTTCATTTGATGTAACTATTCTAGCTTTTTAAAAATTAATGTTTTGCAAATAAGAAATGTAAGATGTAAGATATTTTTGTATGTCAAAAATTTTTTTAATAATATCTTTGTCAGTGTAAAATGTAAAACAACTCTCTTCCTGACTGAGGAAACGAATTTGGAGGAGGAGTACTTTGTCATCAGTTTAGCAGGAAACAGAAACGATACGGCAGCAAACAATGAAAGAAAAAATACATCAAATAACATGTTGTAGCATCACAATGTGTCAGATCAGTGAACACATCCTAAAACGAAAATAAAAAGTTCCGGAAACATACGAAATCGCAGACCCATGACAAACGCTGACTCAGAACAAGGCTCATTCCTGAGCAACAAGCAGTTCCATGCTTAAAGAGTTCACTGTTGGTCGAATCATATGTTAGACACTGCCAACAATAATTTGGAATATTACTTGTTAAATTATCTTTTCAGCTCAAGCGTAAATAGTATATATAAATTTTCAACAGAGCTTGACCAAGTTTGTATACAGTGATCGTATCATCTTTGTTTAATGACCTGTTTTAACCTGTTGATATTTAAAACATGACTGGCCATACCATACATCATCTATACCACATTCTTCTAATACAGTCCTAATAAACTGTAACCATGGACTATCTAATGAATAATTATAATTTAATCGAAAAATTGTAAAGAACATGAGACAACTTGTTTTCATTTGATGTAACTATTCTAGCTTTTTAAAAATTAATGTTTTGCAAATAAGAAATGTAAGATGTAAGATATTTTTGTATGTCAAAAATTTTTTTAATAATATCTTTGTCAGTGTAAAATGTAAAACAACTCTCTTCCTGACTGAGGAAACGAATTTGGAGGAGGAGTACTTTGTCATCAGTTTAGCAGGAAACAGAAACGATACGGCAGCAAACAATGAAAGAAAAAATACATCAAATAACATGTTGTAGCATCACAA